GTCGGAATCGCTTCTTCTCGCGCTGCGGCTGCAGGTGGAGGATCCCCCAAGCAATATGATCGAGAGACTATCTTTTTTTGGTGATGAACCTCATGCAAAAGAACCCACAATCAACGCGGTGGACCCCCTTGGTGTTAAAAAAGTCCATTCTAAAGTGTCCCCAAAGATGAATGAAAATGAAGATAGGATTCAACCAAGCCTTGAGCAGACAGATAAATCGACTGGTATTGCTAATGATCACGATAATAGCGTTGACGAAAACAGGAAAAGCGCAAAAGGCGAGGTTGCTATTAGCGCGGAGGATGATGGTTGGACGACCCCAGACAATTCGCTCTCTGAGTGGGAAGACAACGCCTTGGAGGGCACGGTAGATAGTTCCCATGAGGGCGATGTGAAACTTGAGGACTACGATAGTTTTGAAAATGAACCAAAGCTCACTTCAAATAATGAGGATTTGGGTGATTTTAGAGAGGATTCTGAGGAGGGTTTACCAGAGGAAGATTATTCTGCTGAGCTGGAGAGTTCGGAAACAGGGGAGGCGACATTGAAAGAGGAGGATACAGTCATGAAGTCGGATACAAAGAAACGTAAAGTGTTATCCAAAAAAGATCGAAAATTAAATGATATTTCTAAAAAGAAAAAAATATCCACAAAAGAACGCAAAAAGAGAGTTGGGAAAGATGAGACAAAGATGTCAGAAGAAGATGATGCGAATAATGCTACGATCGACACAGATGACATCAACCGCGAGGAAATCAATAAAAATATCGGGTCCTCAGATATAGAAGATCCCGTGATTTCAAATGTGACAGACTTGAAACTAAATACGTCTTCTAATGAGGATGTACCTTTGGTGGATTCGTTGAAAACAACCGCGGAGGTTGCTATGGAAGTTGCGGAGGGTGCAGGCAGCGCGACTTCCACTGCGGATACATCTCCTTCCTCTTCCGAGGAGCCTATAGCCGAAAACGTGCCCGTGTCCCTCACGCAGCTGCTTACGACGCCTCCATTAAAGTTTGACAACGAGGTGATCGCAAACAAATTTGACGGTACCGCGTTGGAGCTATTCCGACCATCCACTGAGGTGCCGTGGAATATCAAAATGGCATTCGTTGGCAGCGATGTTTTGCTCTCGAAGTTACCGCAGGTGGCGAACGAAAAGAAAGATCATCCCTATCTAAAATACCTTGGCGTGATGCCTGACGGCAACGTACGGTGTGCGGTCGAATCGATGAACGGGACAGACTTACTGATGGCTAGCAAGCTAGAAAAGGTGAAACTGATGGAAACGGTGAAGAAGTGTACGAAGTTGTCCATGGTTCTGAAAGTATTACGCTAGTTTTTGTGCTTCAATTTTTTTACGACGTTTATCTAACTCCATGAATAGAAGAAGTAAGAAACGGATTAAAAGGGTGTGCGATATAATGGTATCCATTGCTCGATTGCCTATCGCTTTCGTGTATTGATAAAATAGAATATTGAATGTAATACCTTTGAGCTACAACGTTTCAGGGATTTCATTTTATAGAATTAACTAATAAATATTGTAGTATGGATCCATCCTTAATATTAGAGCTTATATTAGCATTATTGATCGATTTTATTACCTTCCTTTTAGTTATCACTCCTCTGGTGTTGATATATTAGAATAAGCTGAAATAGATTTGGTTATATTTCTCGTCTCCTACACCATATGAACATAAGGGGTTAAATGTTCCTCACTTGATTTAGTGCGACATTCTTTTTTGATGTGTAATTATTCTGTTTAAGTACTAATTTTCATTCCATCCCCTTATTCATATTACATTTTTTTACTGATATTATAAACATTCTTATAACTTACAAAAATTACAAAGTGAAACAGCGAATCCAGGCCTGAGTTGAGTGTTCTTTCTAAATTTTAGAGGTGCATTAGCTTCTCATCCTTTGGAATCAGGTGTACGTGTGGGTTCGTGAGATTCGCTTTGGGTATTAGTTTTTTCCCTCCCCCTGATCAAAATTTCTATTCACACCCCTTACCAAGTGTATATTGTGCCTTCTCTTAATTTCGTTACGACGTGTCTTCTTTCAACTTCCTTGTTACGCGTCTTTTTTGATGTTCTCCTGCAGTCGTGTTGGACAGGTGGTGAGATTGGTATCTCTCAGCTTGGTAGAGGCCCCGGCTGTAGGCACGGTATCGCTCAACCTGCATCTCTCCCGCACCAACCCGGGTCAGTCCTATGGCTTTAAGATCAAAGCCGACACCGCGAACACCATGGCAAACTCAGACCCTCTCCTTTCGCCATCACCACCTTCTTCTTCACTTTCGACGTCTGTGCGATATCGTTTAATTGAGATTCCGCGTTTTTTAACCGCCTCCTCGCGCGCGGTAGGGGCATTTTTCCCCCCTTCGCATGGGGGAACAGTCTACCTGAACGCGGTGAACGGCCGAACGGCGACCTACGCTGATGGGATGATACATGCGCTGATGGAGGGGAAGAACCATGTGGTAGAGCTCTGCGTGGAGGGAATGTCCCTGCCGGATAAACCGCGCGGACGAAAATCCACAGATGAGGGGTCCACGCACAGTGAGGAGGGTGTAGAAGCGAGGTCAGAACGACTACCAAATGCGAGGCTTGGTAAAACGGACCGGAAGAGGATACCAAGGGCCAAAAATGAATTGAAGTCGCGAAGGTCACGCCAAGCGGCGCCTACTGAAGTTACTGAAAAGGAAGACACGACAACACTTCATGACATCGACACCAGAATCGCTAAGATTACAGCAGATATGGCTAACCCCAGTTCTAATACAGATGCAAGCGCGGTTGTGGATGATGCACACTTCGTCACCAAACCGCCCAAGCGCGGAAGAGGAAGGCCTTCAAAACGTCAGAGTGTGGGGGAGAAAGAGGAAGCTGAGGCCGAAGGGAACGTACCATCCGCGATAATTTCAAAAGATACTGTAGATCCCCACAAGACTTCCCCCGACGAGGGTTTCATCAACGCCGAGGACGAAGATAGAAAGGGCAATCCACTTATAGACAGCACCGCGGCCATCATTCAGCTTACCCAGAGGCTTTCCACACTTACTCTGCCCTCTGAGTCTGCGACTGCGGAGCTGAATTCCAAGGACAAACAACGTAGTAAGAAAAAAACAATTGACCAGCCGCTGGAAGAGGACGAGGCATGGTTTGGCAATCTAGGCACCAATCGTGATGAGAGCAAGAAGCATGCAAAACACTTGAAGAAGACAAAGAACAGCCGAGCATCTGCTGCGGCGCTGAATGACAAAAATAGAGGGTTAGATGATACTGTTAGTGATGATTCAGATAGTCTGAACAGCACCAAGGGCCATATTCTTGTAGCCGATGGAAAAGATCCTGATCGTGGATTGTTTACGATGGAGTTATAGACTGCCGTTTTTTTTTCATATAGTGCACGATTTCTGATGAGTTTTAAATTCATTTTCCCATATCTGTATGTTGTCTGAGATTATACAATCAATAAACATATATTAATTAATTTACATAGATCTATAGAGTTGTTTGTATCACTCTTTCCTATAAATTTTATCCCACTTATGGCCTTTTTTGTGGCGACCCTCCGCAATTATATTGTTTTTCTTAGTGCAGGGTTCTGAATTCTAGTGATATATTGACATGTTAAATTTCTACTAATTAGAAGAAAGTGGAGCATGTAATAAGTTTATAATTAAGATAATATATATATATATATATTTAACAGATCAAAGCCTCATAGAAATAGGCTACCATACGTTTTGCTATTCCTACCATCCCTCACGCATCCACTTACATTACTTTAATGAAAAATCAGTAGAAGATGGGATGACATTCATCTCAGGAATTTCCACAATGATACAAGTTAAAAAACTAAGATGCAGCAGAATGTTTCGTTTATTTATCAAATGTATCATGTTTTATACACATTTGCTTTTTATTCCAGTTTTACTAATATTGCTATTAGCAATATTATTGATCATATAGTATTATACCAAGCATAGAGTGTGAGGACAACCTGTACAATTATTCATTGATAAATAGAGATAGTTGGCTTACTAAGCGACAAATAGAAGGGCTTCTCGTTTTATTTTTTACTACTATGATGACTATATCTTTATCAAGTGAAGGGAGCGCTGACGATTCGGATGTATCCAACGCGGCGCGTTTGGCCCACACCCTCGCCCGCCTCCGCGGGTGCCGTGAACCTGCCGATTTGATTTACCGCAAGGAGGGCCCCCCGTTGTTTTCCAACGAGCCCCTGTCCGACACGGCGGCGGACTACTCCGTCGTCATTGCGCGCCGTATTGCCGTTCTTTTATGCCGTCTGAGCGCGCTCTCCGATCCAGCGGTGCAAGCGGTGAGTACACCGCGTGTAATCCTGACGGCGTTGATGGAGGTAATAAGGGATGCGTTGATCATGGCGATGTCCTCCAGCTCTCCGCAAGAAATTGCCGAGGACGCCTTTTACTCTGGCATCTCCTCGCGCACGGTCCGCGTTGAGGCGATGGTGGAGGGGCTGCACCACCTCACCTACGCCAGTACGAAGCTCCGAGTTGAGTTGGTGACTTTGCAGCTGCAGAAGCGAATCACGGAGGAGCTTCAGACGGCAGTGACCGCTGCCACTCACAGCATTCCAACAACCGAGCAGCACCTAGCCGCGCTTGTCGTGACGGAGACGCTTTTGGAGGATTTTATTGCAATGTACGATAACATTCTTTTAATTCTACCTGTCGACCAGTTGGCACTGTCGAACGAGCATGAGGCCGGGGTGGTCTTGCCTTCGTTGATGCGGTACTATTACCAACTCGGCGATTGGGTACTTCACATGGCGAGCCTATCCGACGCCCCGCCAATCACGCTCACGCACATCACGCGACTGGCGTGGGATGAGAAGAAGGGCGCCGTCGAGGTGGACCTCCACCGCCCCTCACTCGACGCGCCGTGGGGGCTTCTTCTTAACGAGAAGGGCCGCCTCATCGACGTGGATGTCTCGATGCGAGTTCACAACCGCGCGCGTCAGCTACACGAGCTGCTCAAATCCACACGGGAGGGAGGGATGGTGGCCACGGTGAACAACGTTGCTATTCCCGCCGCCGCGGGAGAATACCCACAGCGAGTCCTGCAGGCCCTCCGCGATGCCTCGACAAGCCGCCGGACGCTGCGTCTGGTGGTGCGCTCGAAAAGCCTACGTGGGGCGGCGCGTCGCACGCCGGTGAAGGTGCTTTTCAGCACCCCGGATCAGGGC